GCTTCCTTAACTTTTCTAAAAGGATTTGCTAAATTATCACCAACAAGATTGATAACATGGTTAAACCTGTTCCTTATGACGATTCTTTTCAAAAAGTCTTATGACATGTTTTTTTTATCTAAAAACAGTACCAAAAAGCCACAAAAAACCAAGAAAATTATAGCAAAATGCTTCAAACAGCTGTAAAAGGTTTTTTTTAATACTTTCTTTTATGAGTAAAAAAAAGTACCTTATACTCGTAAAAGGTTTAAACAATGCGTACTAAACGCCAATCTACGCCGAGTGACGGAAACACTGCGTTTGTTTACAAAAATCGTGTGTTGGGTTGGATTCCGTTGTTTTGTTTGAGCTGCGATGCAAAATTTTCTTGACATTTCAAGTCGAAATTCGATTCTGTCGAGTACCGGGGTTCCACTGTATTACATTTTTTTCCCCCTTAAAGAAGCAAACAGTGATTTTATAACTCATTTCACGGTGGCTGATAATCACAACACTTGTCTTTGCTGTGCCTTCTTTAGACATAACTTCAAATCAACACTGGTTATTTTCAAAATTATTATACACACATTTCCTGAAGGTTGCACAAAGATGCCTAGAGTCACAGCCATTCCCCACATGAGATGATCTCATGATAAAATTAGACTTGTTTATCAGCAGCCCTGCTGGTGCAACTAGTGAAGTGCTCAGGTGCTAACTAAAAGGCTAGTGGTTTGAATCCATCTAATAGCTCCCTGGGAGAAGGGCCTGACAATCTGCTTCTGTAACGACTCACTCCCTGCCCTCAAGTTGATGCGAACTCAGCGATCCTGTGGTACAGGGTAGAACTGCCCCGTGGATTTCCGACACAGTAACTCTTTATGGGAGTAGAAAGCACGCCCCATCTTTCTCCCGAGGAGCAGCTGGTGGTTTTGAACCTTGTGGATCACAGCCCAGTGCATACACCACCAGGGCTCTCCCCCTGTAAAGACTACCTGTTTAAAAACAAACGTGGCCATTGAATTGATTTCTCACTTAGCAACCTAGAAACCCTAGGGGGCAGTTCTGTCACCTGTGCCACCTATGATTCCACAGGGACTCCTAGGCACCTAAGGAACCTGTGGTCTGGGGCCACGTGGGCAGTCTTAATAGCAGAGTATCAGGACTCATAACTTTGTTTTAAAAACACGTTAAGTGTAAATTTTAAATGACACATGTAAACATGCTTTGAAGGAGCCCTTGGTCTGAATTAAGGCCACCTGCATAGTGGTTACGTGTTTGGCTGCCAGCTGCAAGGTCAGAAGCTCAAAATCACCAACCACTCCTCAGGAGAGAGCTTTCTACTCCCGTAAAGAGTTACAGTCTCTGAAACTCTCATGAGTTAGTGCTACCCTGCCCTACAGGGTCCCTATGAGGTCCTATAGGGTCGGCAGTGAGTCAGTGGCAGTGAGGTTGGTTCTTGGTGGTTGGTTTAGCAGTTTCTCGGGGGGAAAGATGAGGCTGACGGCTCCCAGAAAGACTGTCAGTCCCCAAAACCCTATGGAGCAGTTCTGCTCTGCCCTAAATGTTGCTGTGAGGCAGAATCCACCTGATGGCAGTGTGATGCTGCTGTTGTTTGATGGTGGCTACAAGGAACCTCGATGGCACAGTGATTCAAGCACTGAAGCTCTAATTAAAAGGTTATCACAAAGCTGTGGACCATTTATATGCAGATTGCAGAGAGACTGCTTAGGCCACTTCCCTGTGCAGTAAGCCAGAATCGTGAATGATAACGCCGATGCTTATTGGAACACCCATTACATGCCAGGCTTGGTGCTGAAAACAGCTCATTTAATACTTGCTATTCTGTCCTGGAGTGGATAAGCTTGGCCTCATCTTGCAGCTGAAGAAATCTAGGCACCAGAAGGGCAGTTATGGGGCCATCAGATAGTCAGCTCGGCCTGATATCAGCACTGGCACCACTTAGATAGAAATTCCATGTTGACCCGAAACCAGTTTCCATCTACCCTGTTTCCCTGAAAATAAGACAGTGTCTTATATTAATTTTTGCTTCCAAAGATGCGCTAGGTCTTATTTTCAGGGGATGTCTTATTTTTCCATGAAGAAGAATACAGTACACATTTATTGTTTATTTTATTGTTTTATTAAGACACCTTGCACTTCCTGTCTGCTCCAGCTGTGCTGTGGCCAACAGTGAGCTGCTCCGAGGCACCCACCGCTACAGCCCAGTTACGGTAGCTTTGGGGCGCCTTATTTTCGGGGATGCCTTATATTTCAGCGAGAGGCAAAACTGTAATTAGGTCTTATTTTGGGGGGATGTCTTCCTTTCGGGGAAACAGGGTATTTGATTCCACCTCATGGTGGACTCCCCAGTCTGTCCTAGGAGAATAGCGCCCCTAATGGGCAAACAGAACATTTTGAGGGACAAAGTGATGAGTGACAACATGACGAGGCATTCCCATGGTGTAGGAACAGGTCAGGTGCCAGGCTGCTACTGGAAGGTTGGAGATATGAGCCCACTCGGAGGTGCCTTGGAAGAAAAGCCTGGAGCTTTACCTCCTAAAACCAAGCCAATAAAAACCTTTGTACTCGATGCCCATGGATTGGAATCTGAGCAACAGCAAAGGGTAGTGGTAATCTGCCCTGTGTTTCTGCAGTGGTGTGGGGAATGCTGTTGGTCCCACTTGACAGGCGAGGAGATACCCAGGGACATGGGTGGTTGTCTTCGCTGTGTTTTCTGGGACTTCAACTCGAAACTGACTATCCTTTTCCATTACCTACTCCAGGCTTGGCGTGAGAGGAAGGCCAGAGATGGACCTGGTGAGACTCTCCCGGCTCTTCCCCCACTCCTGCTCCCTGAGCCAGCCCATCCTCCAACACATGGGCCTCCACAGCGCTAGGTGGGCAGCTGGCAGAGAGGGTCCTGCTCGGCTGCTGGCTTTGAGTCGGACCCAGCCAGTGCCAGCGACCTTCAGCAGCTCCCAGTCGCAGCTGCCCCTGGGCCCAGGAAACCAGAAGAACGCAGGTGGTGTTAGCTCTGAACCAAACCAGCCTGGCCCCATGGCCCTGACGGATGAAAAGGAGGAGGTAGAAGAGGACTTTGGCAGCTTCTCCCACAAGTACTCCTCTCGGATAATGTTCCGTAAATCCACAGCCCAGCTGTACGAGCTACGGCTTCAGGAGCAGAGTGTGTCCGACGGTGCAGAAGGGGAGCTGGAGCCCAAGCCTTGGCAAGGCCAAAGACATACCCCTCACTGGTACTTCTTCCAGTGTAAACAGCTGATCAAGGCGGGGAAGGTGAGGACCTCTGGGTCTGCTTGGCTTGGCATCTGCTTCCCCTGGTCCTGGGGCGTGGTGTCTGTGAGGGGGCAGGACAAAGGCTGGCTAAGGACCAAAAAAACCCCCCTCAAACTCACATCTGTAGAGTCATCCATAATTCACAACTGCCCCCGTGGGTTTCTGAGACTAACTCTCAGAGAGTTGCAAACAGCAGAACGCCTCTTCCACATTTTATTAAAGAGGATGTTGGTAGTGAAATAAAAAGAGTAGAAAGCTTCATCTTTCTGAAAGCAGCTGGTGGTTTTTGAACTACTAACCTTGTGATTAGCAGCCGAAAGTGTAACCAGCTATGCCTCCAGAGGGGTAAAAGAGTAACCTGCTCGCCCAGCTCCTCTGTCCAGCACCCCAGGGGCCTTCAGGAGCACTGTGTGAGTGGAGCGCCTGGTATGCTGACCAGAACCCGGCCTCTCATCCTGCCAGGGCCTCGGGGGCTCCTGCAAAGGTGGGGCCCACAGGGGGCAAGGTGGTACCAAGTTCACAGGTGCCAGATTTCTGAGTGCTGGGCCCTCAGCACCCCTCGAGACACAGATGGAAGCAGCCCGGTCCCTGTCTCCGGAGGTCTCCACGTGATGGGGGAAATGGGATGGTGTCCTGGCAGAGAGGTGGGGGAGTTGGGGTCTCCGCTTCTTTCCCTTCTGGTCACGAAGAGGCTTCTGTGCTGCAAGCGTGAAGAAGCGAGGAAGAGACCCAGAGTGGGGGCCTGGCTCTTGGGCTGGGAGTGTCCCCCCGCCCTGACCCCCCCCTTGTCCTGGGCCCCTCCCTGACCCTGCTTTCCCCCGCTCCCAGCTGGCCGAGGCCCTGGACCTGTTTGAGCGGCAGATGCTCCAGGAGGAGCGGCTGCAGCCCTTGGAGTGTAACTACACAGTGCTGATCGGGGGCTGCGGGCGGGCGGGCTACCTGAAGAAGGCCTTCCGCCTCTACAATGACGTGAGTGCGGCGGGCAGGCGGGCTCCTCTGTCTCCCCTGTCTCCCCTGCCCAGTTCCCACCTCACCCCTCCCTGGTGTGCCAGAAGCAGGCCTCTGTGTTCAGGAGCTGGTGTCTAGCCATCTCAGCACTGAGTTTCTCTGGGCTGTTGTTTCCATTAAAGGCAGCTTTTTCAGTGTCATGCTTGTCATTTCCATTGTGCCCCCGAGGAGAGAGCATGCCTGCCACCCCTCGGTAATGGTTAGACTTGGGGGTTGATGTCTCCTCCCCACCAGACCAGAGCCTCCTTCAGAGACTCTGGAACCTGTCCCCTCCCTTCACCCTGGCATGCGTCTCCTATCCAGAGCAGTCTGCTAAGTGTTGGGAGGTTGAGGGGTCCATTTTCACAGTCCTTCTTGTTGAGTCGGGTGTGGAGAGGCAGCCTCAGCCTTCTCCCCCAGTCCCAACTGCCCCCTGCTACCCTCTGGCTTCTCTCCTGCTTTGGGCTGGTCCCAGAGCTGCCTCTACGCTCACCACCTGCACAGATGAAAAAGCGGGACCTGGAGCCGTCGGATGCCACGTACACAGCTCTGTTCAACGTCTGTGCTGAGTCCCCCTGGAAGGACTCTGCCCTGCAGAGTGCCCTCAAGCTCCGGCAGCAGCTGCGGGCCAGGACCATCCAGCTCAACCTGAAGACCTACCACGCCCTGCTAAAGGTGGCTGCCCTGTGTTCCGACCTCCGGATGTGCCTGGATGTGCTCAAGGTGGGCGCCCTGGGCCCCCAGACCATCCCGCAGGGTGTCAGCCCTAAAGAGGCCTGGCTGACAGGCTCTGGATGTGTGGGCAGCATGTCATGCACTGCCCCGGAGCCTGCCTGGCACCTGGTAGTGCCACTGAGGAAGGGACTCTGGGCAAGCACTAGCGGACCCCCACTGCCTGGGTGGAACTAAGACCTGTGAGGCTGGCCCGTGGCAAGGCTGGAGGGGCTGAGAATACCTTCCCGGTGGGAGTGGGGGGTGGGGGAGAGGCTCTGTGGAGTGGGAGAGGAGGGCCCGTAGTTCCCAGCAGTCCTCAACACCGGAATCCATCTGGTTCCTCCCTGAGGTGTCAGCCCTGGGCCCATAAGTAGCTCTTATTCTGTCCCCCAGGAAATCGTCCACAAAGGTCATGTGGTCACAGCGGAGACCTTCAACTTCCTGCTCATGGCCTGCATCCAAGACAAGAAGACAGGCTTCCGTTATGCCCTGCAGGTCAGTCCCTCCCTGTGCTGTCCCCCTCCTCACAGGGTGACCTGTGCTGATCTCGGTGTTGTCTGAGCCCCCACTGTGTGCTGTGTGGGTGCCCGTCTCTGCTGCCCTTCCCAGTGACCCTGTGCTGATGGCACTCCTCCCCTTAAAGCCCTGGTGGTAGAAGTAGCCATGACTGGGTCCTTGGGGCCTGAGCGTTGAGCACACTGGGCTGGTGATGCTGGATGCACTGAGTGCCCAACAGGCCCAGGGCCACAGCCAATGTGAGGGGTTGCGGGGCTTACTGCGGCCTACCTAGCCTGAAGCCTGCGCCCACATTGCCATCACCTGTCCAAGCCATCCTTGGGAGGGAGAGTGGGGCAAAGCACTGGGGAAACCCTGTCTCTCATTCCCCACACACAGGGTGGATAGTGAGGCTGAAGCCCGCGTGCTCAGGATGGGGTGGGAGATGAAAGTGTGAGGAGCATTTTGGGTGCATTCAGGGAATGAGAGGGGACACACCAGCCCCTGTGAAGTCTCCCCGTGAGCTTTCAATGCTCCAATGAGCTTTAACCGCCCAGAGCTTGGGGCTTTTTAGCCACTTGCCTGATTCTTTTAGCACCCTCCCATCTGACTGGCTGGCTTCCAGAGCCATCTCTGCTGGGGGCTTGGGGGCGGGGTGGGGAGGGTCTGAGCACTGAGCCTTTTCTCTCCCTGAGCAGGTGTGGCGGCAGATGCTGAATTTGGGCATCCAGCCGAGTCGGCACGGCTACAACCTGCTGCTAGGAGCTGCTCGGGACTGTGGCTTGGGGGACTCGGCAGTGGCCTCCGAGCTGCTCCTGAGGCCTACAGAGGAGGCGGCTCTGCTCCAGGCCTCAGTAGGTCGGCAGCCTCGAGCGAGGAGAGCCGCCCAAGCTGGGAAGGGAGGTGGCGTGTCCGCCAGGCTGCATGTGGAGGCTCTGGAGAAGCAGCTTTTTCTTGAACCTTCTCCAGTGCTGGAGGGTTCTCCAAAGCATCAGGACGCCATGGCCCTGGGCAAGGCTCAGTGTGAGGTGGACACTGTGGGGGGGCCTGACTACACAGAGGCCTTCAGCCCTGTGGCCCTGCAGCCCCCTCCCTCAGGCCTGGAGGTCAGCCTTCTGTCTCCAGCAGCAGTGCCTCCAGCTCTGGTCTCTCTGGGGACGGTGGCCACTCCAGCGGACAGGTTGGCCTTGATGGGGGGCATGAAGGGCTTCCTGGGCAAGATGGCAGAGCACGGGCTGCAGCCTGACATCAAGACCCTGACGCTGCTGGCTGAGGTGGTGGCGCCTGGCAGCCCTGCCGAGTCCTCGCTGCTGGCCACCCTGGATGCATACCAGGTGGAGGCAGACGTGACGTTCTTCAACACGCTGATGAGGAAGAAGAGCAAGCTGGGTGACTTGGAGGGGGCGAAGGTGAGGGCTCTCAGCTGGGAACTGCTGCCCCCTGCAGCTAGTCAGCCAGTGTGAACTCTTGCTCTGGGCCTGAGCAGTGGGGGGTGTCATCATGAACCAGTGCCACCCTGCCTCTTTGGGAGGTGGCACACATGGCCATAAAGTGGAAGGGTGTGCGGGGGTGGATGTCTGAGAAATGTCCCCAGAGGCAGCTGCCTGTGGTGGCTAGTGACTCAGAGAGGGGCCCCTTCAGTCATCACCAAGATGACTGATGTCGTGGCTATGCATTGGGCCGTGATCCACAAGGTCAGCAGTTCGAAACCACCAGTGATCAGCTCCAAGGGAGAAAGATGGGCTTTCTACTTCTGTAAAGAGTTACCGTCTCGACGGGGCAGTTCTACTCTGTCCTAGAGGGTCGCTACGAGTCAGCATTGACTCGAAGGTGGTGCTTTTTTTTTCCTTCTGAATTTTACTCTGCTGGAGGATGATCTATCTGTCACCCTCAGTGGCTTTGCTCATCAGAGAGGCCATTGCTGGGGTGTGGGTGGGGAGGCCAAGGCACGGTCCCAAGGACCTCCAGCCCCTAGTTCCCCTCAACTGACACTCCCCACGCCATTTTCCGCATCTCTCCGCCCTCCTGTGAATCTCGAGCTCGCAGTCCTGGCCCTTGGTGCACGTTGGAGGAATGGGACCTGACATCCGGCAGGGCAGCGCAATGTGGGAGAAGAGAGGCTGTGGGCAGTGCAGGTGGAGGATGGGAAGGGCGAGCAGAAGAGGCTCACACAGGCCAAGTGGATGCCTGGGAGCAGAGCTGGGCTGCCGGGGCTTCACTGAGAAGGCTCTCACCTCACCAGTGGTGACGGGGACACTGTCTGGCTCCATAGGCACTGCTGCCAGTGCTGGCAAAGCGGGGTCTCATCCCCAACCTGCAGACCTTCTGTAACCTGGCCAT